TTCCATTATTTTAAATGACTTGTCTTGGGTTAAACTGTAGAATCTGTCTACTAACTCCATAGCATGTGACTATTCTTGTATCTGCTTTATTTCCTTATTTTACTTGGTTTTCTGGAGATTTCCCCAGTGTCTTCATAGTCTAGTCATCTGCAAGTGATAACGGAAATCTAGCCTCTAAAACATCTACCCTCTGCTGTGGGTATTGTATTCAATCCATGTGTGGATTGAAGAATATATTTAAAGTGCAGTATGTGTTGTTTCCTTAACATTTAATTAACAGCATATCTGGCATTTTTAGGCACTCAAAATTTTTATTTAAAAAATTAAATATTTTTTTAACCTCATGAGAATTCTATTTGCTGCCTAAGCAGTTGTGTTTATAAATTTCACTGTCTTCTTACAGGGACAGGGAAGAACGATTGGCAGCACTCACAGCTGCTCAACAAGAAGCTATGGAAGAGCTACAAAAAAAAATTCAACTCAAGGTACGAATATATACTTTTATTTTAAATTTTAGATCTTTCAATGGATCATGGCATTAAAATACTATCCATATAATGAATTTATATGCCTAATAGTTGGACAGTATTGTTAATATCACATACAATTAAAATCTTTCTGAAGACCATCTAAACATGGCTCAACAGAGAAGTACCAGAAATTTCAGTTAGATTTAGAAGCAGTTGTGGCACTAGGGATATCACTGTGGCACTAGGGCTAGCATTGCTGATGTCAGATAGATCTCTGCAGAAAGTAGAGAGTACCAGAAGGATGTATCTTAGTGTTTTAATGACTAAGAAAGGCATTTTACTGTGTGAATCATACCAAATTATGACTAGAATTGAGAAAAATGGGAGTCCCACACCACTTAATTATGCTCATTCTGAACCTGTACCAAGACCAAGAGACTGTCATCAGAACAGAGCAAGGGAACACAGCATGATTTAAAATCAAGAAAAGTGTACATTAAGGCTGTATCCTTTCCCTATGCCTGTTCAGTGCAAATGCTGAGCAAATAATTTGAGAAGCTGGATTTTATGAAGAGGAATGTGGCACCAGGATTGGAAGAAGTCTCATGATCAACCTGGGTAATGCGGAAGTGAAGTAGACTTGAAACACTTCTTGCAGATGCTCAAGGACTATAGCCTTCAATATGTGTTACATATCAATCAAGAAGACAAAAGTAATCACCACTCAGCCAAGAGGCAGTATCATTCATGATCGATGAGAAATGATTCAAGTTGTCAACTTTCTTGGAACCACAAACAACACCCTTGGTCTCAGCAGTCAAAATCAAAATAGGTGTTACATTGAGAAAAATCCACTGTCAGGGACTTCTCTATGGTATCAAGGTATTAAAGACTTTGGTGCACCTGATGCAAGCCATCATAGTTTCAGTTGCTTGTTATGCATCAGAAAGTTGGATAATGTATAGAGAAAACATAAGAATTTGAGTTGTGGTTTTGGAGAAGAGTACTAAATATCCCAGGTACTGCCAGGAGAAGAAATAAGTACGTCTTGGAGAAAGGGCAACCAGTGAGAAAAGAGTAAGAGAAGATGACTTTCAGGAAGGCGGATTGACACAGTTACTTTAACAGTGGGCTCAAGTGTATCAAATAAAGTGAGGGTAGCACAGAATAGGGTAAGTTTCAGATCTGTTGTTCCTAGTGTTACTAGTAGTCGTACTTGACAGAACCTAGCACAGCAACACAATCATTAGATGTTAAGAGTCATATAACTTTGCCATGACCTTTTTAATTTAGGGAACTCTGATGATTTAATGGTAAGGAGTTGTGCTGCCAATTTGAAGGCATGCAGTTTGAATCCAG